ACACCCACACACACACACACACACACACACAGACACACACACACACACACACACACACATGGGCATCGGACACAAACAGACTTTCAGTCAAATATTAACAGACTCAAGGTTCAGAAGCTGTAATTCTGTCAAACACTGCTGGCGTTGAGATGGTAATCAGTCTCCTTCACGTTCGCTGCTCTCTGTACACTTGTCTTTTGTTGTTTGTCTGTTGGACTGATCTTGTCTGTGAGTTTATCTGACTGTGTTTGAGTCTGTATCTCACCTCTCATATCTCTGCAGTGAACCATGGGAAGTTGGCGCAGCAGGAGGACTCGTACGCATTTAAGGAGGACAGCAGCAGTGAGAGTCTGTCTCCAGATCAGCTGCACAGTGAAGAGTCGCAGTGTTCAGCTGAAGCGCTTACAGAGAACAAGAGCTCACCGGCACTCACCAACACTGATCACGTGAGTCACCCAACAAAGCACAGCAAAACCAAAAAATATTCAGGACATTGCAAACAGCTTGAATGAATGAATGACTGACTGACTGACTGACTGAATGAATGAATGTTATATATATATATATATATACACATATATATACACACATATATACACATATATATATATACACATATATACAGCGGGTATAGAAAAGAATCACTCCCTTTTAAAATAATCACATTTTGTTGCTTTGCAGCCTGAAATGAATACAGACAGTTTTAGTTTTATCCAGCTGTATTTACTCAGTGCAACTTATAACATCCAAGTCAAAGATAAAACACCAACATGTCAGAAAATAAATAAAAACAGAATCACTAAGTTGGAAAAAGGATCAGCTCCTCCTAAAAATGGCTTGTAAACTCAATCAGGTGCAGCTCATCACCTTCTCAATGACACACAAAGCCATCTGACTTTCACCTGTGATCAGCTCATTTTGATCAGCTCAGCATGAAAAGAGCTTTTACTGGAGCATTTCAGTCCTTGCTAGAGCAAATGAAGCAAACAATCAACTATGAGTGGCAAGACACTGTCAAAAGATGTCCAGGATAAAGATGTGGACAGACACAAGTCAGGAGATGGAGACAAAAACATTTCAAAGGCTTCATCAATGTCTAGAAGCACAGTGAAGTCTGTTATTAAGAAGTGGAAGGTGTTTGGTAAAACACAGAGCCTCCCTGGATCAGAACTGGATAAAAGAGCCGGAGGAAACTGATCAGAGAGGCGACCGAGAGCTACAGCAACTCTGAAGCAGCTGCAGGAGTTTATGACAAAGAGTGCTCATTGTGTGCATGTGACAACAATATCACAGATTCTACACTAATGTGGCTTGAATGGAAAAAAGCCACTCCTCAAAAAAGGCCACATGCAGTCAGACTGAGCTTTGCCAAAACACACCGTGAAGATTCTGAGGCAGATGAGACTAAAACGGAATTATTTGGGATCAACAGCAAATGATACGTCTGGAGAGGTTGCAAGAAAAAATCCACTCCTCAAGAAAGGCCACATGCAGTCAGACTGAGCTTTGCCAAAACACACCGTGAAGATTCTGAGGCAGATGAGACTAAAACGGAATTATTTGGGATCAACAGCAAATGATACGTCTGGAGGAAACCCAATCCAGCTCAGCATCCAGATAACAGCGTTCCTGCAGTAAAGCATGGAGCTGGAGTGTTTCTCTGCAGCAGCGACTGGAGCACTCGTCAGGACTGAAGGAAACATGATGGGGCAAAATACCATCAAATTCTTGAGGAAAACCTGCTGCTCTGCTAGAAAGTTGTTGGAAAATAAACCTTCCCATTGACATGACAATGACCCAAAGCACACAGCAGAACTGAGCACACAGTGACTGAAGGAGAAAAAGCTGAATGTGCTTGCATGGCCTCGTCAGAGCTCAGACTTAGACCCCACTGAACATCTGTGCAATGACCTGAAGACTGCAGACCACAAACACTCACCATCAGATTGAACTGAACTCGAGCAGTTCTGCAAAGAAGAGCAGGCAAATACTGCAAAGCCTAGATGTGCAAAGTTAGTAGAGACAAATCCCGTAATTAAAGCAAAAGGTGGTGCACAAGGGCTGATCCTTCTTCCAACTCAGTGATTCTGGTTTTTTATTGTTTTATTTTTTTCTGTTGTGAGTGAGTGTGTGTGTGTGAGTGAGTGTGTGTGTGTGTGTGTGAGTCTGTGTGTGTGAGTGAGTGTGAGTGTGTAATAGTGTTCTGCTCAGGCTCTGGAGGAGCTGTTATTCTCAGACAGCTCTTTGACTCTGAGCTCAGATCAGTGTGCCAGTGTGTTTCTTACACACTCAGTAGTGTGCTGTGCTCTCTGCTGTTAAAGTGTTGCTGCAGGCATCAGAATGATCGCCTGTTCTCTGGCAGCAGGAGTAATAAACCATCGGCTGAAGCTGTCAGGAGACCTGGCATCAAATCATCATGACCGATCGCTCAGATCAAGCGGAGCAGAAGCGCGTACAGCTTAGGAATATTTATTTTAGCTTTGTGGCTTGTGAAAGCAGTAAATTATGTACATGTTTAAAAACAATCACCTTATGCGTTTAATGTAAAGTACTTTATGTAGAGTACTTGGGAAATATATATCAATCTTATAAACAATGTCACCTGGATTTCAACTTATGGAAATTCAAAGGTTTGTAGTTTGTAGAAATGTTAAACAGAAGAAATTATTTTTATGTAACTCAGTTTATTTAACCCTAAATCTACTGTATCGTATTTGAAACACACATTTCTAAGGCTCTGAATGATCAAACTGCTGTTAAACCTGTTTCTCCTCCATGTCTTAGATTTTTTTTTATCCAGTCAAAGCTCTTTTAGTGTAATTGTACAAACGTCCAGCTCGAGCTTCACGTGTCAAATCTTGACTGATTTTGATCAAGTAAAGGTCAGAATAACTGCAGTAATATCTCCAGATGAACACTTACTGGACTGAAGCAGCTCAGCTTTACTTGATTCTCCATCAATCATGTTTTAGAGTCTCAAATCTGATCCTCAGGATCTTTTGAGGAGCGTTTGTTTCCAGAAGCTTTACTTTCACTGTTCCTCAGCGGAGGAATGATCTTCACAAGCCTCCAGAACATCTCACATCTTCTGAGGAGCCTTTATTTCTTCAGCTCTCAATCACTGCATTATATGTTTGGAGCATTTCACTCTCATCTCACTGAGACAGATTACTGGAGATATAGAGCGACCACTGATATTTATAGCGTTTTATGTCAGTATCTGCTCTACTGTTAGAAAGATCTCACTGATTTACATTACAAGCATCATATAAATATCAGCATCTGCAGCAAATTGCATATTTTGAATCTCTGAATAAAACGGAGCTGTTTTTTCTTCCATATTGTCACTATGTCAGACTATATGAGCCAGAAAATCCTGATGGATCAAATATGATGCAAAACATAAAATATGTGCAAACCTTTTTGGATAAAAAAATGTGTCTGAAGGTTCATTAAACTGCAGATGTTCCTATTAGTTCGTATGTCAGATAATACAGGCAATAACAATCAGTTATTACTAGTGATTTAATGACAGTATATTAATTTGTCTGTGATTCAGGGGTCTCAGAGCGAAGACGGCAGCACTCAGAACCAGGAGGAGAACATGACGAACAGCCAGGAAACACCTCCGATTCCCGTTCCTGCACCAAGTATGGGTCACCATACTTGGCCACATGTCACGTCACTTCACTTCACTTCACTTCACTATATATATAATTCTATTTTAACACAGTTTTCATTATTTAAGCTATTTTCTGATCATGAGAAGCATAGACTCAGTGAAGTGTGTCCACTGATAGTGTGTGTGTGTGTGTGTGTGTTTATGTGTGTGTGTGTGTGTGTGTGTGTGTAACAGGCCGTCCGGTGAGCAGCAGTCGTCGTGTGCGTCCAGTGTTCAGAGCAGCAGCAGCTCGTCGTCTCCAGTGAAGAGCAGCTCCTGTAACCCGTCCATCAGCCCCCTCAGAACCGGACCGCTGCCCGCCGACCTGGACGACCTGAAGGTCAGTGCTGCGCTGAACACTGCTTAAAGCCAGATTCAACATTCTTGATTTTGTTAACATATGAGTATTGGAATTGAAATCTACAGATAAAGTATAATAAAATCAACATGAAGTGTGTGTTCCGGGTGTTTTCTGTCCACTAGTCTGAATGAAGAAAAAAATCTAAAAATCTCAAAACTGACCCGTGAAAAAACAATGGTTTCGCCTGCATGTATGATCAGTAAGTCAGCATATGCTTTTCCATTAACTCAACAAAGTAATATAATCAATTTCAACTTCCTTTTTTAAAGTTATACAAGACTCAACAAGACAAGATTTAAAATGATTTGACCTGTACAGCCAGTTTGATTAGAGACACATAAAAAAAGCAAAGTTTTTGTAAAGGAAATGCTGTTGAGACCCTCAAAATACACATTATTTATTTTATTTTGTTTATTCATTTTTATAATTATTTTTCAAGTGATATAACCATTTAAATAAAACTGTTGTTTGTCTCGTGCGGGTCACTTTCAAGATTCAAGATTTGTATTTGTCACGTACACAGTTATAAAGAGAATATATAGCCAGCAGTGAATGTAAATCAGGTCTGCTCAATAGACTTTGCAATTATTTATAAAAGTATATAAACAAAAAATAAACAGAGATAATAAGATAACTCAGTTTTGGAGCCGGTGATGTGTGGAGCACCATTAGGTGTCAAAAATACTTTCTGTACAATTATTTATGAAGTTATATTTGTGTCTATGAAAGTTTGTTAAATATATCTAGTCTTTTCTCCACATCTCACACACTTTTGCACTGAATGTTTTTGTTGATGAACATGAGTATGTACGTCTACTGACGAACCACTGCAGCATAAAAGATCCATGACTTTTTGTTCATCTGAATGTAAATGTATTTTGTTTGAAAACTTTTCGGAGTAATATTTACATTGTTTTGAGGTTTTATTAGAAAGGTTTCATGAATTTGGACTGTATTTGAGCAATCACAAGTTAGAAATTCAACAGAATTTAATTAAATTCTATTGTTTTTCTCAATTTTAAAATGAATAAAAAAGAGGTAAATGCAGTAATAGCATGGTAATAGCATGGTAACATTCAAAGACACTAACCCACGGTTTCACAGACAAGGCTTAAGCCTAGTCCCAGCCTAAAATGCATGTCTGGGCTGTTTTAACTGAAAGAAACTTGCACTGACTGATCTTAAAATCTGTCAGTTCCACTGATTTGTCTCAAGATGCACACCAGTAGTGTTTTTATTTAAGGCACATTTATAAAAGCTACTTAAATGTCCTAATTGAACTATGGCCTAATCCTGGCTTAAACTAAACCCTGTCTGTGAAACCAGGCCAATATGATTTTAGTTTAAACATATTAAGTTATGACTGCTTTATAAGATAACCCGAAATGGACCCAGAATGGGGAAACAGTACGCATATTGTGAATGCATTACAGGGTTAATCATGCAACGCAGCAGCTGAACGTAAGTTGAGCTCGTAGTAATTGTAGCCTCTGAGCTGTTGTTCTGGGGAATCCTGAAACTGATTGGTGTGTTGCAGGTGTCTGAACTCAGGCAGCAGCTGCGCATGCGTGGTCTGGCCGTGTCTGGCACTAAGACTGCGCTCATCGAGCGGCTGCGGCCCTTCAGAGACTCCAGCTGCGCTTCTCCAGCCGCGTTCCCCGTGACGCCCACCGGATCGCTCTCGTCCTACCACTTCTACCCGTTCTGCAGCAGCGGCTCCACGCCGCCCATCTCTCCGGCCTCGTCCGAGCTCTCCGTCAGCAGCTTCAGCGACGCCACCGTGTCCTCGCCGCAGTTCGGCCTGAGCGCAGACGAGGGACCGGACCCCGAGAAGGACAAGATGCTGGTGGAGAAGCAGAAGGTGATCGAGGAGCTGAGGTGGAAGCTGCAGCAGGAGCAGAGGCAGGTGGAGGAGCTGCGCTTGCAGCTGCACAAGAGGAAGCGGATGCAGGACTGTCCCGCTCCACATCTGCAGCAGTTCTACGGTGTGTCCGTCAAGCAGGAGCAGATGGAAGGTGGCTGCATGGCTCACTGCGATCTCCTGGAGCTGCAGTCGTCTGGAAGCCCCGCCGGTCTGTCTGCGCTCCTGAGCCCTCAGTGTTCTCCTGAAGATTCGCGCGTCACCAAACCCTCCAGCAGCCCCCCGTCGCCAGACTCACACACGCTGCTGCAGAGCGCAAGCAGAGGCACGCGCAGCACACAGGTGATCCACACACAGAGCCTCGTACTGAGACACGGCTGTTCATCTGTGTCCCTGCAGCACAAAAGCAGTCTTAAGTCGCTGGGGTATATTTGTAGCAATAGCCAACAATACATTATATGGATCAAAATTATAGATTTTTCTTTTATGCCAAAAATCATTAGGTTATTAACTAAAGATCATGTTCCATGAAGATATTTAGTAAATGTCCTACCGTAAATATATAAAAACTTAATTTTTGATTAGTAATATGCATTGCTAAGAACTTCATTTGGACAACTTTAAAGATGATTTTCTCAATATTTAGATTTTTTTGCACCCTCAGATTCCAGATTTTCAAATAGTTGTATCTCAGCCAAATATTGTCCTATCATAACAATTATTATTTATTTATGATTATTTATTCAGCTTTCAGATGATGTATAAAACTCAATTTAAAAAAATTGACCCTTATGACTGGTTTTGTGCTCCAGGGTCACATTTATTCAGAAATACATCGAAAACACAGCTCAAACACACAGCGACTCCAATACACCTCTACTATGACAAACGTGTTTTTCAGTTCTTTCTGAAAATTCATTCATTTAAAAAATTGCTGAAACATTATTAAAAACGGCTTATTATTTGAAAAACGAAATTGTTTGCTAAATGACTAAGATAAACAGAAAATGCTACAATAGAGATTATACCTGTATGATTAGAATTATTTTTTATATTTTTTTTGACAAGGCAAGGTCAGTGCAGGTTGTAAAATGTCATGTGGTGCAATTCTCTGAAAATTAATATTATTTTATATTATTATTATTGCAGTTATTACATTTATATTATTGTTGTATTGTTATTTAAATTACAATGTATAATTTACATATATTTTTATGACACTGCAAAAAGTATTATTTATTTAAAATTATTTATTTATTTAAAATTATTTTGAAGATGTGTACTTTCACAAGTATTCAAGGTTTAAGGAAAGTACAACAATTATGTTTATAAATCAATATTATGATTTTATATTATTCATGTATTTTAACTATAACTATATTTTATAATATTTGTAAAAAAATTATCTTAAAGAATTATTTAATTTAAATTTTTAAAATACATAGATGCACTTTCATGTGTATTCATGATTTAAGGAAAATATTAGTGTTTGCTTGGTTGCGCAACATGACATTTCTAGAGTCATTAAATTTAACTTTTTGTTGAAAATGTAATAAAAGTCAGTCAAATTTCTGTTAAATGTATTTGTATAGCACTTTTCACTTTTACGATAATTCACGATAATGTAGTTGTAATTTGCCACAAAAAGCAATAAAAGGTTTTCAAAACCAGATGAAACCAACATGAATACAAAGAGTACTTGGAAGATGGAATTTGTGAAAGATTCTTCATCATGAACACTGATGTTTGTGATTGATTCTACAGTCACATTTATCAGATTAGAGCTTGACGATAATATAGTTTACATTTTGCAAAAATATGAGCAATCAGGCCTGGTATGTATGTGCATGAAGGTGGATATTCTTACATATACAGCTTTATATAAAGAGCGGGACGATAATGTAGTTGTAATTTGCCACAAAAAGCAATAAAAGGTTTTCAAAACCAGATGAAACCAACATGAATACAAAGAGTACTTGGAAGATGGAATTTGTGAAAGATTCTTCATCATGAACACTGATGTTTGTGATTGATTCAGTGACTAACGGCTTAAATCTGTCCCAGCTGCAGCAGAAGAGCTGCTCGTATCCACCTGACCAGAGAAACCTGCAGACGCTTTACCATCAGAGTCCATCAGAGAACAGCGTCAGCGCCAGGGGATCCACCAGAGCCAAGAGTGCCGGCAGACAGCAGAACGTACGTGAAGAAATCAGACTCATTCATCACAAAACCTCACACACATCACGTGTTCTGATCTGCTCCAGCAACGGAGAGGCTCTTACACTGGGCTTCTGTCAAATATTTAAATAATTAGGACTTTTAATGTTTCTGAAAGAAGTCTCTTCTGCTCACTAAGACTGCATTTATTTTATTTGGTCAAAAATACAGTAAAAATTGTGAAATATTATTATAATGTAAAATAGCTGTTTTCTATGTGGATATCTGTTAAACTGTAATGTATTTCTGTGATGTGCAGCTGTATTTTCAGCATCACTACTCCAGTCTTCAGTGTCACATGATCTTCAGAAATCATTCTAATATACTGATTATCAGAAACATTTCTGATTACATTTACATTTACATTTAGTCATTTTGCAGACGCTTTTATCCAAAGCGACTTACAATTTGGGGATACATAAAGCGATTCTTCTTAAAGAGGCAAACAGATACAGGAAGTGCTTGTAATACCAAGTTTCTAGACATTGTTCAAATAAGTACAAGCTAGAAAGAGAAGGAATAAATAAA